ATATATATATATATATATATATATATATATATATATGCCAGATTTTTGTAACCATACAAAACAGGGAGTACAAGAAGAACTATAAAAGAAGCTGAAAGATTTGTATTTTACTGGATTAACTGGACTATTGTATTTGTATTGTATTACATACTTTTTGAATATTGCAAGCTTTCAACCGTTAGACACTGTCTGTTAAGTCCAAATGTCATTTCTTGTCATGGCTTAACGACCGCCTTGCCCTGCCTGTCAGTTTAGGAACATGGTCAGTTATTGCAGGTTTGCAGTTGAGTCATAACTAATTTTTATTCTTTTTTTTGTATTTCAGAATGATAGATTAAACTGTGTTATACAAAATATTCAACGCTTTGGATATTGTTTTTAATAAACTAACCCAGCTTTAAACGTCCACAAAACTTTATGTTGGACCTGCCTGTTGTGCTCTTTGGTCTTCATGAACATGTTTGTTAATTAATATTCTTGTAAATGAAAAACAAAATGAAAAAAACTGTGAGGTTGTCATTAGAACGCTTGTATTTTTATTATCAGTATACTGATCAGTATACTGATAATAAAACTGCAAAAAGATGGACTAATACAATTTAGCATTAGTCATGCGAATACAGTTGAATTTTATGTAAGTATATCAAAAGCCCTTTTTACATAACCCTGTAATTACATGAGTTTCATATTTTTATACTGTCTTGATATCATCTGGAAGCTGCTGGCAAAGAATAGGGGTTGAGATTGACCCACTAATATTACCCCCTGATCCATCATGTATAGTAATAGGAAGGAAGCTATTATGAACTGCAGGGAGTAATTCAGGATTGCGGAAGTAGTAGTAACATGGAGTACACGAGCAGAAAAGCAGCAGCAGCTGTTCAGTATGTGAGTGAGCACAAAAGAGAAACAAGTACCCTCCTCTGGTTTCCATCTAAAGAAATGGATGCAGATAATAGTATGCTGAAGATGATGACAACTTTCCTTGGATTAAAGCAACAAATGCATTGAGACAACATAGGTGTGGGGAAATCCTTTGCAGGTGACGGCTGCTAGATTGTTGGCCATAGGTTGTTCTGACTGTGTGTTAATTGTGAAATTCTGATGTCAGCAGGTTCCTTAAGGAACTGTGAATGTGAAATAGGCTTAATTTGGAGGCAACAAGATTTTTCCTCAGTTTTTTCTAGAGAAATTTCGACACCTTTTCAGGACTCTGTCAGTTCAGTTGGTTAACACCGGAGCAATCTGTAACTGGGGCGCTGATGTTTTTAATTAGCATGAAGGTCTTACAGCACATGATTTAAGGTGGTTTTGTTTCTATTTCCCAGATGACTGAGAATTTAAATAGACATTTCTCAATATTCTTTTGCCTTTTCTTTTTGACTAAATCACCAATAAAATACACCATGCCATGTAACAAAATGTTAAAAAAAAGATGTTAGAAAGTTCAGTGTGAGTTTTGCAGAGCAAGCCAATATTTCTTGTGTGGCTGTTTTACATAAAAGCTAATGTAATTCAGGAGCATGTACCGAGTACAACTGCATGCAATGTACACAAGCTTAAAATATTTTAAAAAGAAATAACTTTGCCAATGATTACATTTTCCCTTTTGCCCAACAAAGTACGCGTCAACTGTGTTTTGTTGTGTTTTATGCAGCTAGCTTTATTTTCCAACAAGTGGCAAAATTAACCACAATTTAAACTGTATAGGAATGCTTTGATGTGTGTGCTGGTGCTAGATGAAGCATAAAAGAGGACAAGTCCTGTAATAGAAGTCTTTTTTAAGAGCACCTTTGATATGGCACCTTTGCAGACCTTAATTCACTAAGGACAACCAAAATACTTGAGACATTACTGATTAAATCATCTTGCTTATAAAGAAGATGAAAAGAGAAATAAAACCACAACAAAAAGAAGGCAGCAGTGCTAACACAGTGAAAATGTAGAATGCAGTGAGGTCTGGATAAATGACTCAAAAATTGAATTACAACCTTTAATGATTTCACATTGCAGCAGCGTGCAAGGACTGATGAACTGAAGTTGGATGCACTCCTGTCTGCACACATTGGGAATCTCCAAACACATATGTGCCAATTCTATCTTTGGCATTGTCGTGTGTACTGACTGGGCTGAGCGTCTGCGCCTCTCATACATTATGCATCAGCCCTCAGCATGTCCTTGACTAGGGTTACATAAATTTCACATACATTACAGATGTAATCCATTCTAATGAGCTTAGATTTTATCCAGTTGGGCAGGAAAAACACAGGGGAAACTGGCTACTCAAGGTAATATAAATATTATCAAGCTGCTTATTCAGCTTTTTGCTGGACTGTTTTAATGTCACTAGGTGCAAATGGTTCTGCGCTGAATGTGTACATACTTTAGCTGGTGGTTATTTACTGACATGGCATAAAAGACATTGTCAGTTCTACATACACACTGTGCATGCTGGAGTATGGGTGTTGTACCAAAGAAAGACAGAGGACCTAAATAATGAAACACAGTAAAACTTAAAACATAATCTTAAGATCTACATTGTGGCTCTGCAAAGGCCTGTCAGTGGGATCAGGGTTTAACAATGGTTTAAAAAGTTCTGCTTCTGCAAAGTGTACTACATGTGGAAATGTGGCCTTTCTAGCATTTTGGAATCTACATGAAAATTATTTTAATACGTTATAGGTATCATTTAAACAATTGTCCATATTATAACAATGTAATGGCAGGCAGTAACTTTACACAAAATAGTAAAGGGATCACACCAAAATACTCAATAGGGTAAGGAAATATGCATTAAAATGGAAAATTCTCACATCCCTTTGTTTGGATGGGTTTATATTGAATGAATAACAGTTTTATTGTGTAAACCTACCTGTGTCCTGGTCACAAATCTGTTCGCAGGGCTCAGTTGTCCTTTGGCCGCAGTAGTCATGGACCCACTGCGTTGTTGAATTGGTCTGATAGTAAAGCGTTAGCTTAGCTGGATTTAGCCAATTGGAGACATCCAAGAAGCTGCCCATGCTTACCACAAAACTGCTTCCTAGAAAAAAACAAAAAAACAAAAAAAAAGTTATAAACATGCAAAAAAAATCATACTTAAGAAAAGTTAAAATAGAGAGAAAAATTGAATTGATTGGTATGGTTTAAAAGCTCATTTTGACATTCCAGTTTAAAATCAGTTGAGAAAGTAGCTAATTGTTTTCTTCTCACTGTAATTTTATTTTCTTTCCTGGCTGGACTGAATTTCAATGAGAAAATTAAGACTCATAATGTGTGTATCGATGGGATTTCCTTGGTAATTGCAGCACATGGAATAAAAGGGTTTCACAAGTCAATCTGTAAATGCTATTCTCCAAGACATAGATTTACCTTTCTTTCTTACAGCTCTCAGACCAATCGTTAAACTCTGATCACTGAACAAGTCTATTCCTAATTGATGCCAATGAGTTTCAGTTCCACAGGGAGCTGTGAGGAGATTGTGCTTTAGCCCTCTAGTTAACAAAGCCTTTTCGAGCTGTATTGAGAGTATCAGTAACCACAGAATTAAAACCACTGGCAAGTGGGATAAATAAAACCTGGAATTGAGGTTGAAAAAAAGAAAACAATCTTAAACGAGGGATACTTGGGTCTGAGAACTGGAGGATATTATCATCCATTGTGATCTGCTGCAGACAAAACACACCTTCTAAATTACAATAACACTCCTAAAAGAAAAACGCAGCTTATTTAAAAAGGACAATGTACTCAGCTACACTGCATAAACTGCCAAGAAGCAGCTTGTATTATTTGCTCTCCAAATGCCCTAAATCAAATCTGATGAAGCAACTATGTGATGCACTGGACCACATTTCCAACCCTTACATCCAGAGAACTGTAAGAATCAGCTCCCAGCGCCCTTATAACAATTAAGCAACCAGAGAGAGTTTATGTTAGTGCTATTTCTGACAATTTAAATCGTTTTAAATCACTCACAATTATGAAGCTGGATATGGGGAATGTCTTTAAGTGAAAAAGTCAGCACAGGGAGAGATCCCCAACATTGAGAATGCTTCCGTATGGAGAGCAAAAGAAAATGCTTTAAAGCTCTCTAATGTTCTTTTTTTGTGGGTGTGAACTTTTATACTGTAGTGGGTAATACTTTTATTGCAGTCTAAGATAACCATGCTAAAAAGCATACCATAAATCAATACTTATAACCACATACACATGCATGGTTAGAATTTATTATTCTTTTTTTCTGTTTGTTTTCTTCCTATTAAAAAGATAAAATCTGAAAGGTGTTGCATTCAGACTTAGCTTGATTTAATAGCCTGCTTGGGAAAACCATTGTCTTTTGCGGTCAAAAGATACAAGTGTTTTAGAAAATAGATCTACTGTGATCTTTGCACATTAAGAAAGTGGGTTCCCTTCACCTTTTTCACAAAATAGTTTTAGCTTAGACAAACAGCATGAAGAGCATCTGGTGAAGGGATTTTTTTAAAGTTTTGCTACAGTTTTTCAAATGAATTATATTTAAATGGACCGTTCAAAAAATATTAATGTGGCTTTAGCTACAGTATATCTTGGTCAAGCACAGCAAATTTAACTTATTTTAAGTAAAAATACAATTTGAATTAGCTTTATAAGTTTTTGTCTTGCTGGAAAGAGAACCCTCAGTTATGGGTTTGCAGTATCTTTTTTTCCAGCATTACCTGTTTACTGAAACTATCAATCTTCTCATCAACTTTGACTCACTTCCTGTCCTTTGCTGCAGAAAGGCATTTCAAAGCATGATGCCACCGGGTTTAAGGATGGAAAAGGTGTGTTCAGGATGCTCATACTGTACAATATTGATTTTTCCAACACAAAGTTTTGTTTCTATTGAACAAAAGTTCAGTTATGGTCTCATTTAACTGGAGCACCTACTTCTACATGTCTGAGTTTTTCTACCATTGTTTTATCTAAGCAGTTGATCTGTGTGAATCTTCCAAAGTTACCATGGCCTTATTTCCTGTTTCTCCATTAATGCTCTGCCTGCCTGCCCTGTCAGCCTGAATGGACAGCCATGCCTCAGCAAGATTTCAGTTGTCTCATATTTTTTTTTTTTTCATTTATGGATAATGGATTGGACAATATTTGGTGCATTGTTCAAGGTTTTTGAATATTGTCTTATAATGTAACCCTGCTTTAATCATCTTCACAGCTTTTTCCCTTACTTGCCTTGTGTGTTTCATGGTCCTCAAAACTTTTTTTATATGAAATCTATTTTTAAGGAAACAGTGGGACTGGGTTATATTGAGAGAAATTGGAACAAGACTGGCTAACTATACATGTTTGCCACATTTTACTGAGTGATTTTTTTTAACTCTGAATATTACAGCATTTTCCTTCATCTTCAAATTAAAGTATTAGCTTATGTTGGCATATCACCTACAACCCACGTGAATCCCATAAAGTTTGTCTTTTGTACTGATAAAATGTGAAAGGGTCCGTTTTCTTTTGCAGGGCACTTTATCATTATTGTACAGTAAAAAATAAATTAAAAAAGACCTCAAAATACAAGTTTGCACAGACCTTGAAGTACAGATTTAACTTTGATTATAAATAGGATACCTGAAACATGCTTTTGTTTTGGCATAAATATAACCAATGGATAAATTGCTTCCACAGCATTTTGGTGACAATATCAGTGAGTTTAAAATGTTTTCAGACTCTACAAGAAATTAGTAAGATGTTTACAGCTGCTCTTAAAAATGAAAGTACCCAAACAAATTGAAGAGAAAGCTATATGTACTCTGAAGAACAAACTCTTCAGATAATCTGTTGGGTTGGACTGTATATAGGCAATCATACTGATGCCCATTCTTAGGACTAAGCAGTTTAGTTCCAACCTCTACGAAGAGGAAAAAACAAAAAGCTGAAGACTTTTATTCATATAGTGGAGAAACAATTGTAACATTATTGCTACTCTTTTCTTAGATTTAAAAAGAAAACTGTTAAGCAGCAGAATAATTTTTTTTTATAGCACGCATATTCTATTTTTAGTTTTGCTCCTGTTCTTCTGTTGAGCAATAATCTGCTGTTAAGAGTATGAAATTGATTTATTTTATTTATGAACTCAGTTTTAATTGTTTAAGAAAAATAATATGATGGAGGAAAACTATAAATCAATATTATATTCAAAGCACTATGACCCCAACAATAAGACACATGACATTTAATTATTTATTATATATTTATATGATAAAATATCCAACATTCATAAAGAAAATTCTAGTATAGCATTCCATTATAGGTTGGAATCAATTTGTAATTGATAATCTTTCATCTTTAAGCAACATCAATATGGAAATTTTGAATCGAAAATAATTCCCCCCACGGAACACAAAATTCACAAGCCTATGTTTTTATATTTGCAATACCTTTTGTATCTGACAAATATTTATTTATGTCATACTGCTTTACTCTGCCATCATACAAAATGCACATGTATAATTATGCATAAAAAGCAGACTATTAAAAAAAGGAGGACAAACAAGCAATTAACAGCAGGTATGTAAAAATAAATTTATGGGAAGTCTAACAGCTGCTGGGAGAGAAAAAAATCTGCAATAACTCCCCTTGGTTCACCTAGGGTGCAGCGTGAACAAATTTTAAATTGCACCGTGTGTTGTTGTACTGTAAGAATCATGTGTCTTCCTCAGCTCTTGTCAGGCATAGCTCCAGTAGTTTTTAACTCTTTAATTGTTGTTCTGACTGTAGCAACTGCAAGGTTAAGTCACAGAGTTATTTCCCTGTGGCTACTGTTCTGGAATAGCATGTTCTCTTGTCTTCCTCATTTTCTTATAATGGGATGTGTGGGAAAATATGGGTCTTACTGCCCTTTAGAAAGTTTTGCACACATCGGCTGGCAAAAAGATGTAGAGTAATGTAATCTGTTATTGAAACCAAAAATTAAACTACATATTAAATAGTTAATTAAAAATGTGGGTGGGCTAGTACCAAGGGATAGAGAGAGTAACTGATCTTCCAGATGTGTTTGCAGGGCTCTCAGAAGCACTGGTCCTCTGCATAAATTATACCCATTATAACCCATTTTCCATATTCTTCTTTCACTTAAAGCTGTGCTGTTCACAGATGCTTAGAGAAGAATCCATGCTTTCGAAAGAAATCTAAAAGAATCAAATTGAAACTGAAACAATTTATTTAACAGATTTAAATTTTTGTTGAAAAAAAAACAAACTTTTTACCATAAGCACAATTTAGTATGTTAGTCTGTAGTTTGAGTTTAACAAAACTAATTTTAAAAAGTCTATTTTTATATTTCAATCATGTTGTTTTTCATTACCTATAAGAATAGTTTAGTTTTTTTTTATTGGTTGGAAGAATGAATCATCTTCTCCCTTTTATTAGATCTCTTTTTGCATGTTGATTTATTTTTCTGATGTTAGTTATATTTTTAGTCATATGAAGGATTTTATTTGTATTGAATAATTGCAAATCTATTGTGCTTTTCTGTGGCACCAAAAAGCTTTTGAATTCAAAGATGGAGTTGTGGAGGTTTCGATTCAAGTATACAATAAAGAATAGAAAAAATGATTTCTCCCTGGCCTACTTATGTACTATTTGTTATCTTAACAACAGCAGCATTTTCCAAAAAATCCTAACATTAACAAACCCTGAACATATAATCAAAAGAAACTAAACAACTTCAATTCTATTCTATTGTTTTATATATTTTTATAATCATGAACTTGTGGGCCAGACTTCAGTGTTGCAGCTCTGACAACAGTCGTAGCAACAGTTCTTTCCTGGTGAATTTATTATCGTAATTTGTTTAAATTGTTTAGCTCAAAATCTCTCCTCCCAAAAGCAGAGCAAGTTTTTAAGGTTTCTTCTCATATTACAGGTTTTTTTCTGACAGTTAAAGATATCAACCTTTATGTGTGGCTCAACCTAAGTTTAACAGAATTAGCAGAGACAGTTTTAGATAGGAAGGTATGCAAACTGTCCATTTGGGGCTCATCACAACAAATGAATACCTAAAATGCTAGAGGATAAATTTTAAAAAGCTGGTCAGCAATTAATAATAACTTCATAAAAGACTATTTTCTGGGGTAGTTCACAGATTCTTACATGAAAAACATTAAAGAGCTTTTATGCAAAATCATGCACAAAGTGGTATTTTAGGTGATTCATACTTGCTGAATAATCCCCATGAATTCTCTGAACAGCAGTCTATCACAAATGTCAAAAACACTGACCATTAAATGTCTATAAAGTGCTGTCATTATCGAAAACCCTACAGATAAAAACCAGTTTGAAAGTGGCAGGCTGTCAAATAAACAATCCTACCCCTCTGTTCAATAAGCAAGCCATGAAGTGATTGGTCTGGTCAAAGTTGAGACCTATTGGGCTCTTTTACCACCTAATCTGCTCAGTGATAGCCACAGTTTTTAGCTAATTTCTAAGCAGCACAAATTTGTGCTAAGCAGAACAAATTTTGGTGCGACACCATTGTGAATGAATAGTTTTTTGGGGGGTTTGAAAGAAAATAATGAATATTTCATAAGACATGAAAGGCAGTATTTCATCATATGGATTTAGTTAACACTAGGAGGTTTAAAGAAGAACAAAACATGATATAGAACCTTTAATGACAAATGGAGCCTAGGCGGAAGTTCAACTGAAGAAACTCATTGCTCTCCTACATCCACCTGCGACACACCCAATCAGCTTTGAACCAGACCTCCACGAAAGCTAATCGACATCCAAAGTTAATCTTTAAAGGCCTCCGATCCACTTGTGTGCTCCTGTGCGCAGGCGGTGGATGCGCTGGCTGACTTAATTCAGATGAAACCGTTTCAACCCACCTCCAGCCCCTCCTCCACCATCATAGCTGAAACTTCATCAGAGTGTCATTCTTCCTGAACTCTTACTGCATTCCGCGTCTCATTTCAATCGGTCCGGCAGAAGACCGCCATGTTGAGCCTGGTTCTGCCAGAGATTTCTTCCCAAAAGAGTTTTTCCTCTCCACTGTCGCTTCATGCTTGCTAATCATGGACAGGTTCTCTCAACCTGTGTTATCCACCCTGAGTGAAGCACTAGTATCAGCTTATGCAATCCACTGGATCTCCCCATAAAGCTCAGCATACTGTCTCGCTAACCAGCAGTCTACAGACTGACCAACTTCATCTATCTCCACTCCACCACCAGTTTCAGACCTGTGGGGGAAAACAGCCCTGTTCTTTACTCCTGTTCATGCATATCTATCAAAATTAAGCGCTATGTTTCCTTCCGAGGTCTGAGCACCAAAGATAAAGTAATTATATCAATAAATTTCTCCTAATGGTCTTTTCTCTTCGTGCAAGTTTTTAAGATTAAACTACGCAAAATTATAAATTTTAGGTTTTGGAAGTTTTTCTTCTAATAAGATGAAGAAAAGAACTGACTGAAAATCACAGTTTTTCATTACTGTGAGAACACAGCAACCTTCTAATGACAGGTAAAAGCATTGCTATTTACTACAGTACTTAGAGCCACATGAAATAAACATTTTAATGTTTTGTTTCAAAGAGTCTGGGCTGCATTTGATCATCATAAAAGATTTAACAAGTCAAACCTGAAACAAACTGATTTAAAATTATTAGCAGAGTTTGAAGTCCATTTTTAAGGGAGCATTTTCAATGGCCTTTTCGCAAAAGGACAATCTTAGAAAAAGAAAAAAAAAACATGAAAACCTCAGTACTTAACCCCGACTACAGTGATCAGCCTTTAAAAAAACTGTCTTTTTCAATTAAGTTCAACTTTGATGCGACTTGTAAAATATTTTTTTACCTTTGTTTCCCTAAAATATAATTTTTTTTCCAATTTGAATATCATTAATCATGGCTTTGAGAGCTGAATATAGCCTATTCCTGTAAAACAAACTTCAGAGCACATAACTAAAAATGTGCAATGGTTTGGATTCTGCACCTTTTAACCAGTCAGCTAAGCTTTAACATGTGATTTGTACTTACCATCTGCAACAAAATGCTCTGGCACATGAAGAGTAACCTTGACGGTGAGGGGGCAGGAGTCCTGTGTAGCATAGACAATGGCAATGACACATGTGCTGATGGTAATCAGTGTCAGGGTGACCTTATTCAAAGGACTTTGCGAGTGGCCTAAAGACACAGAGAAAAACAGGCAAAGGGAAATGAAGAGATAATATGGGTTTAGTATTTTTTTTATTAGTGATTTTAAAAAAAACCTAACAGAAAATAACACACCATCCCCATCTTCCCTGCTGCCTAGTATATGTAGAAATTTCAAGCTAAAATAATACATTTAATTTTTGTCTTGTATTATTTGCTTTGATTCATTTTTTGCCACACATATATGGTCCATTGCTGAGGAAAACACAGCTTCTGCAAAATATTCTAGAATTATTTGCAAGTATGATGAATTATTATATTGCCACTGACAGGGTTATAGATTGGTAGTTTCTCCGGCACTTTGGCTCTGTCAGGCGTCATATTTCTGAGCTGAAGTATAGGGAATGAAATTAGCCGCTTAACCTCTGTCTGCTAATATCTATCATGGGACAGAACGTGACAGCTTTAAATAAGGTTTACTGGAATATCAGGGATGTGGCTTGAAAATAACATTGAAACTTAATGGTAACAGTTGAGCATGTATTAAAAAGAGTTCATGGTCTGAAATATTGTGATGCTTATTAAAATATGTTTGTAAACTAATGATGAAGAGGGATCTTGGAAATGATTAAATTAGAACATGCGAACCAAGGGGGATGCTTTGGGAGTTATTTTGTTGTGTAGCACAAGGTTAAAACCATGGAGACAAATTAAGAAAAGAGATACAACAGCTGTATCCAGCAAAAGAGGCAGTTCAGTTAATCCTTTGGGGTCAGGGCGCTGTCAGTGGGGTTCTGAAGGGGTCCCTCAATTACCGTAAAAGCTTAGTGAGTGGACTAAAGAATGTATGCTCACGGTGACAAACACTTCCAGTGGGAGCAAAAACATAGTAAACCAGAAAACTCTGCAACACATGTATTAAGGGTTGAAAAGAGTACATCTATTGAAAATAAAAATATTCCACTTTAATGCAATCAAATTTTAGGGCTACAAACTAATAATGTGTAAATAAAAATGTCTAAATTTGTGATGTGGAATAAAATTTAACATTTTCATTTTTAGTAATACATGCAGACTAACAGTAATAACATTACCAGGCATTCAATTTTGAATTTTTAATGCTGGATAACATAAACCATAATGACATTAAACACACCAATGATGGAAAAAAGAAAGAGAAAACACCTTCCAAAAATGTTCATAAAGCAAACATATTTAGCGACTGCTACAGCAAATTAAATAAGTTCTACACTTTGGCTTGAAATATCTGCCCTTTGTTTGCATCTAATCTACAACCCAAGAAAAAGGATCATACTTGTTTAAATTCTTTACCACCAGCTTTTTAATATGCTGGACATCTCTGTCCACACAGCTACGCAGTCATGATGTTCAGATTTTTCAAAAATATCAATGAAAACAGACAGTAGTTTTATCAATTCATTAGCAAGTCTTTTTGAGGTTGTGTTTTAATAACTGACTGAGAAATCAAGCACATATGAAAATTGAATAAAAAATATCTATGATTTCCTTTTAAAAGTTAATATTGTTGTGAATTTTTAAAGTTCACTAAGGTTAAATGATAAACAAGCCCAACTTGAGGAAAACCAGTGAATTTAATTAGGCAGTTTGTAACAAGTTTAAATAGAAATGTTTGCATTTAACATTAAACCCATATGCCGATGACAAATATACGTATAAAAGATCATGAGTTTAGACAATCTATTTTGAAGCTGCAAACATAGCAGGTGGTTGTGCTGTAGCAAGACTGATCATTATTCATCTCATATTAATATTTTGATAATTAGAGGAAAATCTTATGAGGAAACACACTCAACAGGATGTTCCTCGTGACACGTTGAAAATTAATATAAAGAAAAAAATATAGTATGGGATTATGGTGAATATTTCAATAATCAACCAAATGTAGACCATCTATGTGACCAGAATTACCAAATGTATTCAGTGTGATCACTCACAAAGGAGCTGTGTCTGTGACTATATGGGTGAGTGATGGATAGCTCTGATAGAGCAAAAATAGATAGATTTGGGTCTCATCTGTTTTGTGGGCTCTGTTCCACCTGTGACCATCAAGACTGACTGGTTGGAATGCGCTTAAGAGTGTTAAGAGATGGAGAGTTGTAAGAGAGACACTCTTTTTCATTATCAAAAGAAGTAGCTGAATAAGTTCAGACATACTATTTTTCTTTTTTCAGGGATGATCCTATAGAAGGAAAATCTGGTCTAATGGGTAGAACCAAAAAACACATTCTGGCCTTGGGATTTCTTGGGATCCCACAGACTGAGCTGATGAGAGAAAATAAGAAAAAAAATCCTAAAATTGTTACCTCAGTCAACCAAACTCATAAGTTATTTTCGCTTATCTCAATTCAATGTTTGCTTTTCTATTTTGGCCCAGGTTTGTTTAAATATATTTTTGTCAGCACCAGCTCTGAATTAGTGCGGATGCTTCAAAATATTGCATGAGCCATATATAGCAAGCCTATCAAAATAATGTACATGAGCCATACAAACAATTCATTGTTAGTGTGTATTTTTAGTATAATAGATTTTCTGTATTTTCCAGCATTAGGTGGGTTGGAAAGTCAAAAGTGTCAGTTTTTCTTTAAGAAAGAAAATTAGCGTAGATGCTCAGAAAACTATAAGAAAATTGTCAAGCAAACGGTAACTAAGGAGATGAGGAGTGGAAAAAAATTCTTTCTATATGATATTTATATCCAAGAGGACACACACAGACTATCAGTTCCATTTCATCTAATTCTTGCGTATTAATATCAACATCCAACACAATGTTCACAATTACAAGTCATGGAAGTTAAAAACTAGTTTACGGTCCAAGTCATTTGATTTAAGTTTCAATATCAGAGGCTTCATTTACATCAGCTCATGTATCTCCTTTTGGATGTCAGTAGATGTGCTATAAAGAAGCACTTTACATACTGCAGGGAGCAGGCACAACTCCTTCCCATTTCCAGCTATGCTGACAAATCCAAAAATGTTTCGCCTCATTCCACTTTACTGTATGTCATATGTATATATCTTTATTCCCTTTCACATTCAGCCATACTAACTCAGGAATTCATTTGTTCTCAAACACATTTCATTGTTTTTTATTCATTTTTTTTTCTTTTTATTGCATTCCCAGCAAGTAAGTAATGGATAAGGGGAACCCCCCTCCTGTTCACAGTGAGGTGTTTAGCATATGACGCATTCATCACAAGCCTCCAAGAATATATTTTTTTCCTTACCTTTGCTGCGCCTCCGTCCTCTATTCTGTTCTGTGTAAAACTTCATTTGATTGTCATCTTCAGGCTCTGAACTTGATTCCCCTTGGGGACCGTATACACCTCCAGTCACTGCCAAAGAATAGTTGAGACAAAAACAGACAAAAATAACTTTATTAATAAGTCTCAATCATTCAATGTTTGTTCTAGTTCTTCATATGCTTTTTGTGTAATCCTTGCTTAACTGGATGGTTTTACTGCTTAACTGGATGGTTTTTGAGATAATATTCCATGCCCCTTCATCCAGACTTAATGTAGAGAAAGTACGAGGGTTGCATAATTATAGTGTGGTGGTATTACAAAGCTGGAGATTAATTGTTAAATAACTGGAATTTTCACTCCTCTAATTTCCCTCCTAGTCCGACTGGGTGGCCTTTGTCTCTTGAGAGCAGTTTTCTGTTCACATTGTGACAGATCCATGCAGTGTGTTTATGTGCCTGACAACACATCCTTGAAGAGGTGACAGCAAGACAGAAGATGGGAGAAGCTTTGTTTGTATAGATATGGTAGTAAAGCATCAAAACACAATTTTTCACTGATTTGCCTCATTGAAATAAGAGACATACTGAGGAATTGCAAACTTGTAGCCCTCTGATAGTTAACTCATTCTCTAAAACATTTAAAAGGCATTTTAAAGTAGTTAAAATATCTGCATCCAGGTGATCATTTAGTTTACATGAATTTCAACAATATCTCTAATGTGGAAGAGAATAATACACAAGTTAATCCGGTTCCCTTTAAGTTATACATGTCACCAGTTGCCCTTAAAATCAGCTGTTTCACATTTGCCCTATTACCATCCTTGGGAATAACACCATTACTGTAGAGGATAATGTTACTATCCCCCCCCCCCCCCAAACATGTCAACTTAATTACTTGTTTCAGCAGTGCTGTCGTGTTACTTACTGTATATTGGTGGAGCAAAAACTTTATCCATGTTGGTTAAAAACAACTCTAATTTGGTGAAGCACCAACCCTAGTGGCTAGCACCCCAAAGCTTTACCATATTCCAGCCAGTTTAAGCCGTGCACTTCATGTAATGTCAATAGCAGTTTAATGTTTTATATATTTATTAATTATTCATTCATTCATTATTAAACATTCTACATATGATAAATCGTTAATTCAAACATGAATTATTTTTGATTATTTAAAGTTCCAATAACAGGAATGTAATTCCGGTTTATTGAGCTTTTAAATTACAAAAATGAACTGGATAATTACCAAGCAGAGTATCCAGTTAGTTACTGGGGAAAGGGATTTCTATACACACCACACATGTATCAGAAACATTCAGTATGTGATTGTGTATGTGAATGGCTGAATGTAGTGTAAAGCACTTTCCAGTCCTCAGACATGATAAGGCCCTATACAAGTAAGCCCATTTACTTCCAACTACCTCTTAAAATAATGTTCTCATAACTGGTTCCATTCAATTAATTAGAAAATGCATACCAATGATTCTTTGTTGATTAAAAGTATTTTCTCTTGATAACCAGCTTTAAAAAGGTATTACACCTATTTTCATATCAGTCAATAACTAATATTAAATAAGGACCTGGGAAAAACAGGCGTTACTCAAATTATAACCCTAACCATGTTTAAAGGTAACTTTTATAAAGAGATCAGCCTTCACTGCATGAAAAGTGAGATTTTCGTCCCCGTAAACCCCCATAAACTCCCGCAGATCTGCCTGATTTTCGTCAGTTTCCGACNCTGACAATTTACGGGAGTTTTCGTCGAAGCCTGCAAATTGCCGTAAACTGCCGCTAACCTGAAGTTCCACGACAATCTACAGTGCCGTATATTGACGAAAATCCCACTTTTCATGCAGTGCTTACCACCACATTTGCTCAGCTTGGCTGCTAGAGTTTGAGAGGCTTGTGGTGTTTCTGGACCAGAGTTCAGCAATAATATTTAGTAGGACATTAGATATGACATATGTTGTTTCGATATCAATCAGGTGTGTGTAAGTATCATTACTGCTTATCGCCAAGCCCTTGATCTATATAAGGTGTTTCACTTATTGAGTTACAATTAACCTTTCAATAATAATCTCATTTAATAAATATGACTTTATTGCTTATCCCCTTGAGTCAGATGGGAGTAAAGGACAGAAATAAAATGCATACTCATCTTGTAACTGTAAAGGAGCATCTAAAAAAATGCTTTTTCAGTGTACTGTTAAAGAAAAAATATAAGTTTAGTAAGTTATTTTAGGAAAAAATCAAAGACCACTTCATTCATAAATAAAAGCATTATGATAACCTCCTGCTTCTTCTCTAAACTCCATTTTGCAGCTCAAATAATGTGCCATGGGTATCACAGAACGATTTACCTACAATGATTTTTTATGAGCTAAAACATTTGACTCACACAAAGACAAAACGGGAGAACCTAAAACTGTTTTTGTTGTTGTTGTGTGTATTGGGAGGTTTGTTTAACAGTAGTGAGGGCCTGGTTGCCTTTTACCATCAGAGATAAATATGGTTAAAGGGAGAAAGGAAGACACTGACCTATGTGCAAATTTAGCTTTAAAGTAATAGGCAGAAGACTAAACGGTGATGGCAAGAGACGGAACAAAATAAAATGAACCATGACCAATTTAACAAATAATAATAATACTGTGGTAAATCTATTGCTACCTACTAATGGAAGGAGAATAGAGGTAAGAATTGCCAAAAACACCAATCTATGTACATTGCCAAAAGCATTTACTCATCCATATAAATAATTCAGTTGTATAAAATCCAGGACCTAGACATGCAAGATGCTTCTACAAAAGAGTGAGTTAATCCTGGGATTGTGGTGAGTGCTGGCTTTGTGGTAGGATTCCACCTGTGCAATAAGTCCAGTCATGAAATGATTTCCCCGAATAAATGTCCCATGGTCAAATGTTCATGGTGTTATAACAAACAGGAATTACCTGTACATTAACTCAGTCAGAAACTGATAGGACACATGGAGTGGGGTCTGGCACATTAAGAAAAGAGTTTACTAATTTCCTGCTGAGTATGTGTGACAAAGCAGACAACATAATGACTATGGACCTTAATTGTGAATTTGCCATTCTAAGAGAAAGGACTATATGCTACAGAACTGTCTCAGCTTCTGTATAGTATGCTCCTTCTCTTGTTAACAGTTTATGGCTTTGTCTGCTTCAATGGATACAGATGTAAATGTGTGTACATGTATTTTTTTTTGCAAACCACCACAGAAGTGTACACAAGAGTTTTCTCAAGTTAAATTTTGAGTGGGAGCCATAAGAAAAGTGGGGGTTGGAAGTAGGATGATTTTGGTTGTGAGGTTTCAAACATTGAAGGTTCCACCCTCAGTTCAGTCTGAGACTCACGGCAGAACCAACACAAGGAGACACCAAACTGAGAGACAGTACACTGATCTGAGCCTTGGGGAAAAATCTAAAAAAGGATGCACTTTTTCTAAAGCTGTTTTAAGCAAGTTGTTTAGGTAATTAATTCTTTGACTAAAGTAAATACGATATTGAGCGGACTGGTGACAGATGCAACCAAGAAGTTGAGAGAATTTACTTTCAAAACCTTATTGGAGATGTGTAAGTTTTCATTATCACTGAGTCTTCCATTGCCATATTGAGACTACCTTCTCAAGATCTTTAGCTTGGCCACCATTAAATTAATTGGTTGGTATTTACTTCCAACATAGCAAGGAGTGTTTGGCTACGATCATACAGCATGTCTTGATTATTTTTTTTTTTTTTTGAAATCCGATATTATCAGTGTTGTGGTTCATACTACTGTACATACTAAATGTGACCACTATAAGACTTTCCACACATAACACTACTGTTTTCAAAAGTTATATAGATTTGACTGTCACTTGTTTAGTTAGATGAATTTCTGGTGAATAACCCACAGAAAATACATTGGGAATGCTGGTTTATCTGTTTAAGTGTTAAACTCTAGTGTAGCCAAATGTATCATCACCACATCATTAACAAAGCGATAAAGAAAATAAAACACAACTATTTACATTATCAGAGCAGCCAGTGACTGCTGCTGCAGGGAAATTTGTGTAAGTTGGATAATATGTGGCATGGCCTTTTAGAAGACAGAAGCTTTTGCAAACTGTATACGTATACAATATGGAACCACATATTGAAGTGAACCAAATGAGATTTTTTTTCTAGGTGAAATGATCAAATTCAGCCGTTCCGAATGCCTCAAATAGTAAGACTTGATTCACATATGGGCAAAAAGACCGGATTTTAATCACAGTTGCATGTTGAGTATAAAGGGTAGCCTTTTAATGCTGACAACGGAAAGGACGGCAAAACTCTGGAAGTTTTAGTATGAGGGTTAAGGACACAGGTAAGATATTTTGTTGTTTTTCTGGAAGTTGGGGTGAAACCTTTGATCTTTTGTGTCAACAGTTTCTGGGATTAGGCATACAAAGTGAAATCTTTGAAAGCATTGATGGATTGCATGTTTTGTTTTGTAGACCTTTCACACAAAGACTGAAATCATGGGTAGATTTTGTCATGGAGATACTTCCAATGGTAAAATGTAATTGTTTAGCTGAAAATTAAACATCCAGGTTGTACAAGGGCTAATTTTCACATTCTCTAAAGTTGGCATAAATTAACTTTGCATATATGAGATCTATAAAAGAATAAAACGTATGTCATGAAGGTGAAATGTAAAACCTTTTACTGAAATGTTATTGTGTATTTAGTCCATCTGTCATCTCTTTCAAATTCTTGTTGTAAGGCTGCTGCACTGTTGGCCTCTGGTGTTAGCTACTTAATTTTGTCACACTGTCAAACTTATCCTATCCACAGGTTAGCAACTACTTTGATCTCCGGAGGTTTCTGTGTGCATTTTCACAGTCAATGAACTTCCACTTGCTCTTCTTCAAAGAGAACATTTTCCAACACCAGTTAACAACTTTTTTTTTTTTTTTTTCTGGTGTCCCTGAAAAGTCTTTGGGACAGTGTGGTCAAAAATAACTTTCTTTCAGGTTTAACAGAGGTATTTGAATGAGCCTATTTTTGAATCTGTGGTGTTTTAAAATGGCAGCAAAAGAAAGTCTTTGTG